AAACAAAACTAGACAATAACAACCACGCTGCATGATTGAAGAAAAAATCAGGGAAGCCTTGCACAATGCATCATTTTTATTTCATTTTGTTACTGTGTACTGAATAGTGCTTCCTTGAAGCTGTCAGTGTTACACTTCCAAGACCGAACTGTAGCAGAAATGGTTCAAGGCAGAGCTATCAAATATATCGATAAGGGATCAAATGAATCAACTTCAATTAGCTATATGTGAAAATTACATAATGAAACACCGTTATAATTTATCAGTTGCTCGAGGGGATAAGAGGATAAAAGATAAACGATCCGGCAGTCTTTACTTGGAAGTAATTCCACAGTTTGCCCTAGAAACAACCAAAGAGCAAGCACGTGAGGATATTCAGCAAGATTCTTTTAACCAAGCAGATTAGAGAGTGAACACTGAATATCCGACATCAGAATTATCGAACCGATCTGAATATTAAAACAAAATGTATATTATTAACAGAGTTATTCAATTGAGGAAAACACTCGTGTTTTTCAAAAAACTAACTAGCTGGGAAAAGAAACGGGGGGGTGGAAACTATCAGAGGTTACAAGATCAAAGTTCCTTTTCTAGGATAATTCAAGTTCGAACAAACTCCAAAGACGCTGTACCTCATAAATGCAGGCTAGCGTTCAATTGAAAGGCTGATTTCATATTGCAGTACACTGATACAGAATCTCCTTATTGCTGGAATTCAAGATCTAATTTCCTTTTAAGATGTGATCGGTCAGCACTGCAAAAGAATGGGGGAAACACAAATTATTCAAGATTCTAGGTGTCATGAAGACCATGTTCATAATTAAATGTTTTGTGAAATAATAAAAAATAAAAAATGATTATTATAAAAACTGTATTGGTCCTCTCCGTGGCCTTTGATTCATCAACTAATTTATCACCATTTATTAATTAATTACTCAAATACATTAGAAATTAATTTTAAGATGTAAGTAATGGTAGTACATATGTTCTTTATATGATGCCCATGGGTTGTCATTTCATAAAACCTAAGAAGTTGGGAGGGTTTACCCAAAGAGGGGTGGTGGGTGTTATGGATGCCCATTATAAAGCACCATTCATACAGACCAAAAACCTATTCCTATATGCTTTCCCATGAGAAAGGCTTGAAGCAAACAACCTAAGTAGTCTTAAGACAACTACCAGACCAAGTACATTTGGTTGAAATTGCAGCTAGTCATCCAAAAGAAAATTGCACGATAAGGTAATCCCGATTAAAACACAAACAAAACTAGGTGAGACCATCTTAAAACATCAAATTCGCATTTCTGATAACGGGAACTTTTAAGATTACTATCCATGACGACATGTCAAACTTCAATTCAGTTTAGCCCCAGTGTATGAGATAACATTCAAGAAGGTCCATACAATATCTATACCAGGATTTCAAACCCGCTTTCAAGCTAACGCAGACAATTGGTTCAGCAATTTACACAATAAACTTATTGTGGCAGAAAAAAAAATTACCTGTTAATTGTTGGTCTATTTGGAGGTTTTCCACCAAAAATAGAAAAATCCAACGACATTGGCACTGCTTCATTTTTGCTTGTATTTCCAGCAGCTGCCTCTCGCACCTCATTACCATGGTCATCAAGCTTATCAGCTTTACATGCATTTCCTTCAAAAGCCTCACGCTCTGGCATTACTCTTCTTGACTTTCTTGGAGGTGAGAGGACAGTAGGACCCTCATTTGAATTTAAGTCTGAAACTCTAGGGTTCATAGGTTCACGCTTTGAAGTAGGCCTTGGAAGCTTACTAGGATCTGTGGGAAGTGGTGCAGATGTGAAGTACCTAGAAAGGAAATACTGTAAGCAATGTATCCAAAATATTTCTTGATTTCTAAATAATATTTTCATATTTCAAAAATGAAACCTATGCTCCAATGCTTGCTGAATGGAAATTCTAAACTTTGGATCATAAGCAAACATCTTTGATAGGAGATCCAGCGTGTCATCACTAGCCATAGGAAACAATGAACGTAGAGGAGGTGCAGGAACATATTGGAACTCCACATAATCAGGTAGGTATAACATATCAGACCACTGAGAAGTTGTCGGAGTTCCAAAAGCTGCAAAGATCTTCCCTAATTGATCAATGTCGCTCGAACCCTGTCAAAAATAAAAATAACTTTAAAAATTTGAAGAAATACAAGAAATCCAAATCTGAACATAAGTCCATTTTTCATAGTCATACAAAAAATCCAAGAACGAATATCCAAGTGGAAGTTTATATTCCCACATCTGAACTTAAATCTATTCTACATAGTTAACAATATGCAAGTGCAAGTTTAAAATTATAACCGAATAAAATTGTCAGAGACTAAGCATTAAGACTCTCGGAAGAGTATGAAAATCTAAACATTAACATCTGTAGGTATATCGAAGTTCAGAAGATATGGGTTTGTTAAACTTACAAGCTACGAAAATTACTTCTATAACACATACTAACAACACCATCTACACAAAAGTTTCTACAGCCAATTCTTGATAGACTCTACACAGATTGTATTGTGCATGCCAATTCAAGTACCAACAAGAAACCGACAGGAATGAAAGACTAATTAAGTTTTGTTTATACTAAAACCATTTACATGGTGATGTCTAAACATCACAAGCAGAAGAAGGGAGAACGAATAACTTTGATTCTCATGGGCCAAACATCTGCCATGGTCGTGTAAATTAGAGAATCATTGATAGTTGCAAACGTTGACTTACCTGAAGAAAAGGTCTACGAAGTAGTAGTTCAGCAAAAATACATGCTGCTGCCCAAACATCCACTGCAGAACCATACTGCTTAGAGCCAAACAATAGCTCAGGTGCTCTGTACCATCGGGCAAACACCTATTTTCAAAATTACAGACATGTGTTAAGATTGAGATGAACAGAAATTCAGGTATAGTGATGAAATATCTGGCCACATAAAATGAAGATCGGTTCTGTGCCTGTATCATTTTAGATTGAAAAACAACTCTGTTTTTAATACAGAACAAGGTCATTTACTTTTCCCAGCTTTAAAAGAAACAGCTACTACACATAACAAATTAGAGTCAAAGGGCTCCAATGCAATAAATATTTACATGCATATATCAATAATGCAAAAGAGGGAGAAGAAGTATACCTGGTGAGTATATCTACGATCAGGACTCCCAAATATCCTAGCCAAACCAAAATCTGCAAGTTTCAGTTGACCATTCGGTCCTATCAACAAATTATTTGGCTTCATATCCCTGTAAAGTACAAGCAAGCATCTTATAAAAGGAACATAAAGCACAGTATTCAGACGCTAAATAATTTGAACTAAACATCAATAATAATAAATATCAAAATTTTGATACCTATGTAAAACCCACTTCTTGTGGCAAAAAGCAAGGCCTTTCAACGTCATCTGAAGGTATGATTTTATGTCAGCTGGGGAAAGAAATATATTTCGATCACGTATAACAGCTTCAAGGTCCGTCTCCATAAATTCAAAAACAAGATGCAAATTTTCTTTATGAGGGAATGCATCAATTAACTCAATTATATTTGAATCTTTGAGCTCTTTAAGCAGCTTGATTTCTCGAAGAGCCGTAAAATTTACTCCCTCTTTTTGTTTGCCAAGCCGAATTTTCTTGATTGCAACCGTCTGACCTGTCTAAAAAGTTTAAAAAAAAAAAAAAAAAATTTGGTAAATAAAGTTGAGAACCCTATTTTGTTGATGTAATAGAAAATCAATATATAGTTTTTCGATTTTCAAGCATCGAACAATCAGAATTTAAGGTAAGTGGACATAAGAACTGCTGCCTTGTGTCTAGACATATATTCAGCTACCGTGAGATATGGTTCCGGTAAACAAAACTCATTTTACAGTTTAGTACATCCTAGGGCAAAAGAGCCGGGCATTCGACAACTTTGAAACATAACGAAAGCAACTAAACTCAAAGAAACATTCAAATACTTCCAGAACCCATCGCCATATTCCCCCTCAATATCATTGTCAAATCAATTACATTGAATTTGGCTGTAACCTTTGGAATTGCCCTTCTTTTCTCTATGCCCATCATGTGCACTTTGAAACGCATCAAAGCGTTAATAACTTTTCACACAAAGAAAGGCATGTGACCTTTAGATGCAGAATCGTAACAGAACGGGTGGGCAAAGACCTACCTGGGTATCAATGGCCTTATATACAACGCCATAGGTACCCTCTCCGAGAACCTCACGCTTTAAATATCTGTCAGCCACTTTCTTTGATGGATCGAGCTCAGCCATTGCTGCCTCCAAATTATTCCTTCAAAACGTCTTCTTACCTCCGGTATCCTTCTCATGCCAGACACATAGGATCGGAAAAAGAAATGTCTAGGGCATCATTGCCCAAGGAAATCCGGCGAAATTAGGGTTTGGAGATGGTGAGTGTGTGTAGTTCAGTTCGTAGCACAAAGAAAGCCGTTGAAGATCGAGAGACCGAGAGACGAGAGCGTGAAAAAGAAGCCTCTTTCGGCTGTTTCAAGCATTTTTCTATTTTTCCTTGCTTTTCTTCTCGCCTATCCCCAATCCGATCCCTTATTATTACTTCTCACCTGATTTGAACCAAAGTTGGGCCGTGGGCCGTGGCCCACGACCGGCCCACGGCCCAACATGATTATGATTTTTATTATTATTTGAATTCATCGTGATTATGATTTCTATTATATTACCAAATTTGTAGCTATTAAAATTTTGTTCATTCATTTTAGAGTTTAAATTAGTTAAGATTGCACCTGACCGAAGATGATATTTATATTTTGATTTCGGAATTTTGTGAAATTTTATAGTTTAACTTGAAAGTTCTAAAACTTGTTTGGTGGCCGAGAAAATGAAGCAAATATCATAGCATGAACGGAAGGGGTATATATTATCGTCCTAATAAGTGTCGACATGTATCCAACCAGAGCAAAATGTTCCGAGTGTCTACACTTATCCAACACATGGGGACTACCGACTACAGAAACGAACAAACACTTGAATCCTCCATTTCAATACGTATAAAAATGACGAATTTAAAACTATTGTGATCAATGAAATGAGGCAACGTACCTTTTCAAACAAGAAAAAATGTAAGAAAGGAGAGGAAACCAAGCTATATCTACCGCAAGCAATGACGTTGCCATTGCAATGGAAAGTCGAATACGTACTAATCCTTGAACATTCTTGTAGCTGATGGTAGACTTTGAATCCTCCAAGGAGAATGGGTCAGATCTGGGGGCTTCAACGATTTCATTGATTACATAAGTTATAAAAAAACGAACAAAAACGTGAGATCCTATATCGGTTGAAAAGGTTGGAAAGGGGAACAGAGCATAAGTGTGTGGAAATCTCTCCCTAACAGACGCGTTTAAAACTCGTGAAGCTGGCGACGACACGTAACGGATCAAAGCGATAGACTTGGATTGTTACGAATAGTATTAAAGTCAGTTACCAGGCGGTGTGACAACGAGGACGTTGGGCCCCAGAGGGGGTGGATTGTGAGATCTCACATCAGTTGGAGAGAGAAACAAAGCATTCTTTATAAGGGTATGGAAACCTCTTCCTAGCAAACACGTAAAATCGTGAGGTTGACAACAATACGTAGCGGACCAAAACGGACAATATATGCTAGCGGTGGGAAAAAAAAAAAAAAAAAACCTGCTAGAACACTAGGAGAATGGGAACCCACTTGAAGAATTCATTAGCGCTTTCCTTTGACTCAAGCTCCTTGTCAAAGCTGCCATTTCCTACATTTGAAAGGTAAATTTTAGACAAATAATAATCACCCAGAAGCAACATAGAGACTATAAAAGGCTAAGAGTTTGAGACAATATGCAAGGATCAACAACAAACAATGGCAGAGGTAAAGATTATTGGGTCTGCTGCAAGCCTCTTCTCTGTAAGGGTTGAATGGGCCTTGAAGCTCAAAGGAATTGAGTATGAGTACATACCTGAAGACGTGAGAAACAAAAGTGAGCTGCTTCTCAAGTCCAACCCTGTGCACAAAAAAATACCTGTGCTCTTGCACCATGGCAAAGCCATATCCGAGTCGCTTCTCATCCTCGAATACATCGACGAGACGTGGAAGGACAACCCCCTCATGCCTGAAGATCCATATAACAGAGCCATGGCTCGCTTCTGGGCTAAGTTTTTAGATGAGAAGGTAACCCAAAGTTATATGGTTTTAGATAATAAAGACTAAGATACTGACCATGTTTTTGTGAACGCAGGGCCTGCTGGGTGCCTGGGAAGCATGCCAGGCTGAAGGAGAAGAGAAGGAGAAGGCTGTGGAGGCTGCAATACAGAATTTGGCATTGCTTGACAAAGAAATCCAAGGAAAGAAATTCTTTGGTGGAGATGAAATTGGTTACCTGGATTTAGCTGCAGGGTGGATGTGCCACTGGCTCAGTGTTCTTGATGAAGTTGGAGAAATGAAGGTGTTTGATAAAGACAGGGTCCCATCCCTTCATGAATGGGTTCAAGACTTCGTACACATTCCAGTTATCAAAGAATCCCTTCCACCCAGAGAAGATCTTGTCAACTACTTCAAGGGTAGTCTGAGCTACGTCCGGTCGTTAGCTGCAAATAAGCAATAGGATGCCTCATCCTGCATTTATATCTCACTTCCAATAATCCTGGAGTCATATGAATCTGTTTTTTTTTTTTTCCTTTTATTTATTTGATGGTTTTTTTGCTATTTCAATCGGTTATAGGATAAAACAATTGCACTTCCTCGGGACATTTACAAGTGACTGTGCAACAATCACTCTCACCACCGAGTGAGTCAGCCCATTCAAATTTGCGTAGCCTCTGGGTGGATGACGTCTACCTAAGCCTCTAGCCCCATTTGAGAAGAAAGTTTTAGAAAACGGGGCAGAGATTTTTGAAATAGAGTTTGAAAGCAAGAATTAAAGCAATGTTATAGACTAGTACGCAAGAAAGACAACATAACGGCTTAAATAACATATAACTTCAGGTAGAAAGAGCAGGTTATCTAATTGATTCGTCAGCAGCTGCGTATTTCTAGGTTGGCTCGTTGCCATCCAAGTAAATCATTGAAGGTTTAAAGCGAACACCAAATTTTAGAGAAAGAGAAGCAAAGCTGTAACAATTTGGCCCGTTATGTATTGCCGTCAACCTCACGGTTTTAGAACACATTTTCTAGGGAGAGGTTTCCACACCTTTATAAGGAATGTTTCGTTCTCCTCTCCAATTGATGTGAGATCTAACAATTCACCCCCCTTGGGGGCCAACATTCTTGTTGCCACACTGTCCGATGTCTGGCTCTAATACCATTTGTAATAGCCCAAGTCCACCGTTAGCAAATATTGTCCATCTTGGCCTGTTACGTATCGTCGTCAACCTCATAGTTTTAAAACATGTCTTTCAGAGAGAGGTTTCCACACCCTTATAAGGAATGCTTCGTTCCCCTCTCTAATCGATGTGGGATTTCACAATCCACCCCCCTTAGGGGCCAGTGTCCTCACTAGCACACCGCCCGGTGCCTGGCTCTGATACCACTTGTAACAGCCCAAGTCCACCGCCAACGGATATTGTCCACTTTTGCCTGCTACGTATTACCATCAGCCTCACGGTTTTACAACACGTCTTCCAGAGAGAGATTTCCACACCCTTATAAGGAATGCTTCATTCCCCTCTCCACCCGATATGAGATCTCACAAAAGCTAAGGCAAGTTCAATAGAATCAACACTTGATCGCTGTCCAAGGTAGAATTCCTAAGAGAAGTGGCAATTACCTAACAAACAGCTTGAAAATCATAGTAAACATTCAGTGGATGAATAGCATGCCTTAATTCAAATGACAATGCAAAGTATGAAGTAAAATGGCATTGATTTCTCCAGAAGTGAAGCTCAGAGTTAACAAATAGGACAGAACAAATTGAAATTCTTATAGACCAGTTAGGATGTACATGTTCTTAACAAATATAACACACTGAACAAGACCAGATATTTGATGAAGAAAAGAACTAAGTATTAACACGACGACACCGGCACCAGAACGCAGTTCCCCCACTTCTACCACGAGCAACAGCTAGTTCCTCATCAACATAAAACCAGATAAAGAAAGGATCTTTACTGCTTGGCTCCCTTTCATCCTTTTTACCAAGACTGATCTCCAAAGGTTCTAAAGGTCCAAATTTGATCCGAATTCGCTCGAAAATGAACGCTAATATTCTGTTCTTCCATGACATTCTACCTTCAAATGTTAAGCTTCCAATAGGTCCCAGAAACACTCCATTCTCTATTCTTTTTCCCTAAAATCCATGCAACCATGAATTCATCTCAAAAAAACACTAGAAAATCAACTAGAGCAGTCCTAGGTTTCTGTTCTTATTGCACATTAAGGCTGCTACGTTCTAAATTCATGCAATCTTTTCCAAGATGAGATGTAGGAATCATACAGTAAAAGCTAGAGAGGAAGACAGATGAACTTACAGCAGCATCAAACCTCTGGATGGCTGTGAGAGGAAAGTACCGCCCTTTCTCCAATTTTTTCTGCAATTCAGCACTAGAATTCAGAAATTAGAGTGATTAAACATTCTTAATTAGCAAAAGAAACGGAAATAAAATCAACCTCAGCAGTAAAAATAAGCATCCAGGTTCTCCCTGGAGAGCTTGTTCCACCAAGTGTATTAAAAAACTTTGAAGGGTCAAGTTTGGCCTTCTCAAGAACAGAAAGAGCTGACAGAACTTCTTCTGCTGCTACCCGTCTAGTCTTCGCCGCATCCTTCAGCACTTTGACACTCTTTTCCACTTCCTCGTCCACAATCTACACCAGTCAATTCTTCATACATTATTTGAACAGCTCTAATTGACTCATCTTTAGTTCAGTTGCTTATGAATAGATAATGTAACACCTCCTTATCTCCTTATCACCGTCAGCTTCACGATATTAAAACGCATCTGCTAGAGAGAGAGATTTTCATACCCTTATAAAGAATATTTCATTCTCCTCTCCAACCGACGTGGGATCTCACAGATAAAGAGCGGTAGAAAATGCTGATCATACAGCCTAGAGAATAGAACGTACTTCATTCTTCTATACAACTTCTCAATAAGAACGTAATTGAACTTCCAAAAAGAACCATCAAATGTCATTGAATGTCCAAGAAGAAAGGCAACGTACTAACAAGAAATCTTAGCGACTAGAGAAATATCAAAAGTAAACACATCACATACACTGCTGGAACTCTCTTCCACAACTTGAAGTGGGGCTGCTCCATTTGGGTCCTTTTCGCCTAAAATTGCCCAGGTTTTCGTTCTCGAAAATCTGTCAAATGAAGGCCGGTTTGAAGATTTTAACGAAATCGGGTATAGCGCCACGGCATTAGAAGGGGTTTTGAGGAAGATTTTTGGGGGCTTGAAAGAGTTATTGGATGAACTGGAAGCGAACCAGCTGAAGAACGAGGATCCCAAAGTTGAAGGCGGTACTATGAGTGAGGTCATCGTTATTTAGCTCCGACGATGGCGGCGTTCTTGGCCTGAAGAGGCAGAAGGTTCTTCTTGATTCTTCTCTTCATCCATACAAATATCTGGTGCGGATCAAATCCTTGTACCCCATGATTGGCAACTCAATTAAAATCCTCTAAATTAATGAATATGAGTGGACTTAATTTTTCTTCAAGTGAAATTTTCATGCTTCAAATAATCCTCATGTATTTTTACTTTCTATACTTTAATTTTAGTTTTATTTAGAAAGATTTAAAAAAAAAAATCTCTATATTTTAATTCAACTTTGTCCATGGATTAAAACATGATATCTTTTAAAATTTAAAATATTGCAAATTTTATTAAACTAAATTAATAAAAATATTTATAAATTCAATAATAACTTTAAACTTGGAAAAAAATCTAAAAAAAATTTATTTTAGAGAAAAAAAATTTAATATCTTATCTCAAAAATATTAAATTTAAAAAATTTCATTAATACTTCCCGCCTTAAAAAAAAATTAAAAATAATCTAGGGTTAATATTATATTTTAAAAATACTCCTGAAATTTTAAGAATAACATTAACACCTTTTATAATTATAAACAAAAATCTACAAAAAAAAATTACGATCTATCTACACCTCATAGATTATTTTCAAATGTTACTGTAAGGTTCGTGAGTATTTTTGAAACATAATACTAACTTGCAAGGATATCTAAAAAATATCGTCATAGGTTCTTTCTTTCGGAATGTTTTAATGTTTTTAAGGATCCAAGCCAAAACAAGCCAAAGGGGGAAGGAAACCAGACCTTTTACAACGATGTGTAAAGAACCTAATGAAGTGGGAAGAATGTGCAGCAGGCAAGCAAGGCATGGCGAGGTGTTTGTTTCTAAGAGGCGGGCACGGTGTTTGCATAGAGGAGAGTAAAGAAGATTTCCACTTCTGGTATACCTCTGATCATTTGGATGAATCTGGTTTTTCTTGGATCTTCAAGGAGCAATGGCCCCATCTGGGAAACTCTTGGCACGAGCCTAGCCAGTGGTGTCCCTGATGTGCTGCTGCTGCCGCCTCCACCAACTGAACCCTCCATTTCTTCCATCAACCCATTGACTCCTACTTCTAACGACCTCTCGACGACATTCCCAAATTCGGCACTGAACCCATAAAAAGTGAAAGAAAAGATCATATATCGTTAACTGATCGAAACGTGGTTGATAGTTTACGAATTTGATGATATTGCATTCAACATGAACTGTTCTATAGGTTGTACTACTGAGTCTTTCGAGTTCTTAAAAGAATTAGTTCATGAGAGGAATGCGGAATTGACGAAAAACTCGTATGCATTCTTAAGCAAGCCTTTACGACTGCTATGGATGGATGGATGGATGGATGGACGGACGGATGGATGGAAGGAAGAAAGAGTGAGGTTTTTACGCAATTCTAACTCCCAAGTGAAGAACCTTGTTTACTATTGTAAGATCCCAAGTCAGTTGTGGAGGAGAATGAATCACTATTTATAAAGGTGTGGAAACCTTTTCTTAGCAGACGCGTTTTAAAAACCTTGAGGAGAAGCCTAGAAGGGAAAGCCCAAAAAGAACAATATCTGCTAACGGTGGGTTTGGGCCATTACAATTGGTATCAAAGCCAGACATCGGGTGATGTGCCAGTGAAGAGGTTGAGCCTCGAAGGGGGTGGACCCAGGGTGGTGTGCCAGCAAGGACACTGGGCCCTAAAGGGAGGTGGATTGGGGGGTCCTACATTGATTGGAGAAGGGAACGAGTGCTAACTTGGACACTGAACCCCAAAGGGAGTGGATTGTGAGATCCCACGTTGGTTGGAGAGGAGAACGAAGCGTTCTTTATATGGGTGTGGAAACCTCTCCCTAGCAAACACGTTTTAAAACCTTGAGAGAAAGCCCAAAATGAAAAGCCAAAAAGAACAATATCTACAAGCAGTAGGCTTGAACTGTTACAACTAATGAGACGGTCTATAATCATTACGGTGACTGTTGATTTATAATCCTCGTACCTTAGCAGAACTGCTCGAGTCTCCATCATAAGTTGGTCGAACTTATTGATATTTGTGACAGTTGCATCGTCATCCGTGGAGAGCGTGCCTCTAATACTAGATTGCTTGTCCTCAGGCATCAAGTAGTCCAACCAATGATGGGGACGTCCCGTGCTCATGAAAATTTTTATTATACGTATAGTAGTTTCGCGAAGCGTAGTTGTATCAAAGACATCGCGCAACTGTTTACTGCAACCAAGAAAATCAACAAAGAATACTAATCACATCCGAGAAAGCATCGACATAGCCGACGAAATCGACATAGCCCCTTACCTCTTGAGAACTTCTGCTACTGCTATCTGCATTCTAGGAATTAAGGTATTCAGACCATAATTAGAGAGAAAATCAGAGAAAGCCAGAAATTTCTGCTCGTCGTTCCTATCGACGAGTTCGGCCTCCTCCTGTGGAATCAGAAATCACAAGGACTAACATCAGAGAAAAGACAGTGAGTCAAGAAAGAACTAATAATAGCACGCATTACACAGCTTTCAAGTTTGATATCAAATAAATTTAACATCTCATATCATGTTTAGAAGTTATAGCTGGAAAACGGATCGACATTCACGTTGCCTACATCACCTACTCATTTATTGGTGTAACATGGTCATTCCACTTGCCCACCGCTAACAGATATTGTCCGCTTTGGCCCGTTACGTATTGTCGTCAGCCTCACGGTTTTAAAATACATCTGCTAGGGAGAGGTTTCCACACCCTTATAAGGAATGCTTCGTTCCCCTCTTCAACCGACGTGGGATCCCTCAATCCACCCCTCTTGGGGCCTAGCAAGGATGCTGACACGTCGCCCCGGTGTCTGGCTATGATACCATCTGTAACAACCCAAACCCACCGCTAAAAATTTAAAAAAAATGAAAAACCAAATAAATAGTAAAATGACTGAGGTAGTAATGCCAAGAGTGACAGCGATCAAAACAGTTCAAACGAGTACGATAGCGAAAACAGAAGGCCTTACGAGTAAATGGGAGCTACCGAGACCACGGGCAGTATCAACGTACATATGTCTTCCTAAGATGTTGACTTGAACTCTAATGTATAAGCTTAAAACAGTTATTGCCCAGAGTGATATCACCATCTTTGTGAAGCCTGGAAAAATGCATACCAAGCAAGCTGATCTAAATCTATGAACACGAAAGATCCAAATATAAACACGAAAGCGAGATCGTTACGTACTTAGTATTTTGAGGTTTTCCCATAAATCGAGTTTCTCTGCTAATGTCAAAGTGTTTGGTTGACCCTTCCCCATCATTAACCGCTCGGTCAGGTGTGAAAGATCCAAATCTTCCTCTATCCGAGTTTGTAAATGTTGTATAGCATGAGGCAGTGTTGTGGTATCAGCTATTCTCTGAATATGCTCAAAATGAGCTTGTATTCTGCAAGCACGCATCCAACAAACTCGAAAGTTAAAGAAGAAAACGATACCGATAAAACGAGGGAACGAAAAAGTAAGCATCTCTTAACTGAGCTTTAATGAGTTCGTCGGCTTCGCGTTCATTATCTAGCTCTCTTTGAATAACCTGAAGCCTTCTACTGTAGTAATCATATTGTTTGTAGAGAAAATACCCACTTCCAATAACACTAGCTGTGATTAAAATCTTCTTCTTGTGCCTTCTCCAAAAATCCCTGCTAATAAGACATCATGAAATGGGAGTAACCAAATAATTTGGATTCGTAAACTACATCGACCGCTAGCTATCGAACTCTGCCTTCGACATCATTTTGGATTCCCAAAACATATTTCGAGATCAATATGTTGAAATCATAAAATAGTTCTCAAGCTTTTCCCCTCTAGGTTCACTCTCTTTCTGGAATAGCTCAAGCCCACCGCGAGTAGATATTGTCCATTTTGGCCTGTTACGTATCCCCATCAACCTCACGATGTTAAAACATGTCTACTATGGAGAGGTTTCCACACCCTCATAAGGAATGCTTCATTCCCCTCTCTCCAACCGATGTGGGATCTCATAATCCACCCTCGTTAGGGGCTCAGCATCCTCGCTGGCATACCACCCGGTGTCTGGCTCTGATACCATTTTTTTAACAACTCAAGTCCACCGCTAGCCGATATTGTCCATTTTGGCCCGTTACGTATCGTCATCAGCCTCACGATGTTAAAACACGTTTGATAGGGAGAGGTTTCCACACCCTTATAAGGAATTTTCCATTCCCCTCTCTCCAACCGATGTGGGATCTCACAATCCACCCCCATTGGGGGACCAGCATCCTCGCTGGCATACCTCCCGATGTCTGGCTCTAATACCATTTGTAACTACCCAAGCTCACCGCTAGCAAATATTGTCCACTTCGACCCATTACGTATCACCATCAGCCTCACACGACGTTAAAACGTGCCTACTAGGGAGAGGTTTCCACACCCATATAAGGAATGCTTCGTTCTCCTCTCCAACCGACGTGGGATCTCACACTTTCAGTTCTTCCGAATCACATAAAAGACAGTTCTTATTTCATATCCTTGATACAATAGTATGGGAAGAGTACCATACTTCCGTTCCTTCCCAGGAATTCATCCAACAAACACTAGAAGTAACATTCCTTCAGAATCAATTATTGTAATCAAAGAACGTGAAACCATTCATTCTATATCAATCAATTAGAAACCAACCATCCTCCTAGTCTCAATTGTCAGGAATCAGAAGATAACCAAAAATTGGATAGCTATCAAAAACACCCACGAGTTCATGAATTCAGCAGCCAACAGTGAAATCAAGGGAGAAAAAAACACACCCAGAAGTAGGCATCTTCAGTCAATAGCAACACAAAGGGAAGGGAAGCATATGAAATAATGCTGAAGAACCATAAGAACCAACCTTACAGGAAACATTTTGGTGTCATGAATTAAACTGAATACTCATCACCATGCCTTCTTCACCTGAAAATCCATTTCAACAAAACCACGATAGATATCAAATCATCCACAAAAACCAAAACCATCACTAACCCAGAAAGGAAAATAGCTGAATAAACGCACAACACCTCGATACCCCACGACTGGGAAAAGGGGGATAGTCGAAATGGGAAGCAGCCCAACAAGCACAGATAGATGCAGTTCTTGCCCACTTTATCAACACAGCTTCTTAGTCTGTTCTGGGTTATGAAATTTCAAGGGTTTGGAGCTTGAAGAACGCAAAACAGCTGCAAGCTGAGAAATGAGAGTGGCAATTTTGACAATTCATGAGTAAATTTTGGTTTTTAATCTTTTAACTCTTCGTGTTCACACACAAAATAGTAACATCTTCATGGAGCTACAATTATAACACTCCTGAGTTTCTATAATTTCATTTTTGAAAGGCCTGAGATTAAGCACTTTGTTAAATTTGTAAGTTTGTGCATCTAATACGATTAACCCATTTATAGTTCATAAAGAATTTCATAAATTAAAATACTTAGACTTAAAAGTTTACTCTTTTTAGTGATATCATACAATAATTTTCTGAAATTAAAAATCTTTCATCGATTACTACATATTTGGCTAATTCGACTAATTTATAATTATTATGAAATGTTAAACAACGTTAAACAACCCCTTTCATTATTTTGTTAGATCGATCATATTTGACTATTCGAAAACCTATATTATATTACAAATTTTTATGAATGAAATTAAAATATATATATATATTAAAAAGCTCGTATATTTATCCAATATAAGAAAAAACGAACAAAATTAAATTATAACATCGAATGTATTTTCGGAATTAACTTTATCAAAATTACTACCTCTAAGTTGTAAAATAATAATGATAATAAATAAATAAATATTCGTGGCTGTTTTTTTTTATTTCATAAAATCAATTTAAAGAATATTAAAAAAAAATTATATGGATATCCCTTCGACTAAATTGGTATCATAGCCATTTTTTATTTTTAACCGAATGAAAAAAAGAATGTTTTAAAATATTAATTCAAAATTATTATGTAACTTATTATGAATTACAATTTTTTATTTTTTTTACTTTAAAAATGGGTAATTTGATAAATATGAAGAAAAACAGTTACTATAAAAAGTTTTTCAAACAAAATATAATTGTAGCTTAAATAAATAAAAGAAAGAAAAATATAAAATTCTGTCATTTATTAAAATTAAGAATTTAATTAAATCCAATAAATTTATAAGAATAAAAATGAAGCAAAATAAAAGAAAAAAATCATACGAAATGCTTTAATTTAGAAAAAGTATTAATGTGAGCTAAAATAATAATAATTGAAAAGAAAAAATGGGTTTTAGTTTTCACAAGGCCCAAACGGTCCCTAGGGTTCTCCAAGTTACAACCGCCTATAGCCGGTCGACTTTTCAAAACCCTAATTTGCTCGACTATATATATCTTCTCATCTCCCCCACGCTTCCTCCTCTATCGCTCACAAATTTACAATCTTTACACAGCCGAAGGCGCAGAACCAAACTACACCTCAAGAATGGCGGAAGGGCTCGTTCTCCGGGGAACGATGAGGGCTCACACGGATATGGTCACGGCCATAGCCACTCCGGTTGACAATTCCGATATGATCGTCACCTCTTCCCGTGACAAATCCATCATCTTGTGGCGTCTCACTAAGGAGGAGAAGACCTACGGTGTTCCTCAGCGTAGGCTCAATGGCCACTCCCACTTCGTTCAGGATGTTGTTCTCTCTTCCGACGGTCAGTTCGCTCTCTCTGGTTCCTGGGACGGAGAGCTCCGCCTTTGGGACCTCGCCACGGGCGTTACCTCCCGTCGATTTGTTGGTCATTCGAAGGATGTTCTCTCTGTTGCCTTCTCCATTGACAATCGTCAGATCGTCTCGGCCTCTCGTGACCGAACGATCAAGCTGTGGAATACACTCGGTGAGTGCAAGTACACAATCCAGGATGGTGACGCACACAGTGACTGGGTTAGCTGTGTTAGATTCAGCCCTAACACTCTCTTGCCGACGATTGTTTCGGCGTCTTGGGACAAGACCGTGAAGGTTTGGAATTTGACTAATTGCAAGTTGAGAGTGACTCTTGCTGGTCATGCTGGTTATGTCAACACGGTGGCTGTCTCTCCTGATGGGTCGCTTTGCGCCAGTGGAGGCAAAGACGGAGTGATTTTGCTGTGGGATTTGGCCGAGGGTAAGAAGCTCTATTCATTGGATGCCGGATCGATTATTCATGCTCTTTGTTTCAGCCCCAACAGGTACTGGCTCTGTGCTGCGACTGAGAGCAGTATTAAGATCTGGGACTTGGAGAGCAAGAGCATCGTGGAGGACTTGAAAGTCGATTTAAAAACCGAGGCGGAGAAAACTGATGACACCCATGCTGCAACCGCCAACAAGATTAAGGTATATTCGTTTTTTTTTTCCGTGCACCATGTTATACTATGGAAGATTTTGTACTCGTTTCGTTCTTTAATTATATAACACCCATGTACTATGTTTGTTGATGATTGATCGCGTTGTTCTGGCTCTGCTTGCAATTGCCAATTACATTGTCTTATCAGCATGCCATGTTATTTACGTTGAGGTTGCATATTCTGCAATTCTGGAAGTGTTTTATACTTGGGTGTATTTTCCTACGATGGTTTCTAGAACTGATTTCAGCACTTAATTGTATATTGGTTGTCATACTTTTCTTATTGTCTTTTTTTTTTTTTTTTTTTTTGCCATTGGAAATTCCTTCATAAATGATTCTGTTTATCAAACCAAACAAATGCTTCGGTAATGGATCACTGATTTAGTCTTCTTGTTCTTCGTAAATGATTTATATTTGATGTATAAAGTCATTCTTGCACATTTCAGTCACATGCTGTAGTTTTGGTCAATTTTATGCAAACTAAATAGATTAGCAAGGTGATCCACAGTCCCTTTTTGGTGTTTGAAGAAGTTTGATAACTTCCTCTCAAATCGATGCTGATTGAAATGGTTGTATAGGAAGTCCTTATAGAACGTCCTGTTGCTCTTCATAAAAGAACGTTTGATTTGAGTGTCATAAGAGCGATTTTTCAGTTGGCAGATTTTGGAACAAACGTAGTCTTTCTTTTCTATGGATTGTCAAGCTTTATGTTAAGGAACCTCCATCTTTCAACTTTGCTTCCTTAGATGAAAGTCTTTGTCTGAATCTGATTGAAGTTTTGTGTTGGATTTGTTTGCAGGTTATCTACTGCACAAGTTTGAGCTGGAGTGCAGATGGGAGCACATTGTTTAGTGGCTATACAGACGGAGTGATCAGAGTTTGGGGCATTGGTCGCTACTAGAAATATCGATTATATTATTTCCAGACGCTCTTTTTTTGCTTCTATTCTGAGAAAAACTTGTCAGACCTTGATTACAAGTACTGGTCTTTAGAATTTTCTTTAGAGTTTTGCTGGCAGAATCATTTGGTTTTTAATTTAATGTTGAAGATGACTTTGAGTTGAGGTCAACAATGTTTTTTCTTTGAGATATGCGAAACCCAGTTAACAGTTCTTTTTTTCTTTCAATATTTTCTTGAAGAAGCATTATAGTTCCATCTATAAAGTTTTGATGGTGCTGCCATATCATCTCTGAAGTCTATTAGTTCTTGAAGCATTTGACATTGATGTTTGTTCAATTAAGGGTTCCGAAGAGCCGAAGCCATAAATGGTGGTTGCGCTGTACCTAAAAACATCTGGCCCTTGAAGGTGACTCCTTTGTTACCTGTAGGGCATAGGCTGTTTTTTGTCCAAGAAATTAATCTGCCTTGGTTGTTGAGGGCATGGCTGAACAAAACTAATGTTGTGCTCTGGTTTGCGTGAGTATTGAAAGGCGTATGAAAAAGGAAATAATAAAAAGTTTTAGGCATCCTAGAAGTTGATTTGATGTTTTAGTGTTTACTCCTCTTCTTTCTGCCTTGGGGCTTCCAATCCCTGTCGTCTTTATCTGTAATTTCACCAACACAACAACTGTGGAATCTCCAATTCTTCCCAACTAATCCAAAACCAATCTTTGCAATTACCAAAAACCTACCGCTTTCAAACGCCCCAAACCTTTTCCAAATTGTCTTTCTCCTGGTCCCGAATTTTTCGAACATTTTGGACGATGCTCATCAAAGAATAATCTCCGGCAGCATTTCTGATCCAAATCTTCAACATCATCAACAGTAGAAATACACGTTCATGTTCATCGTCGGCAATTCTGATCGAAATACACTCCTCATTTTCTAAAGTTTCGATCGAAATCATCAACATCAACATCTTCAGAATCATCTCCAGCAGCAGGCAACGACGATAGGGGATTAATCCTGAGGAGTGTATTTCCAACTACAGGCTCCCTGGAGCGCTTCCATATCCTCTGTTAACCACACCGTCTTCATCGTCTTCTTCGACGGCGGAAGCCTTCTCGTGACTTCCGACGTCATGGCTGCCGCGAGATTTGAATGAATCTCGTGGCGGAACAAAATAGATTTGCTTTCGAATTGCATTGGAGCAGCTACCAATCAATCACAGACTCGAAGGGTGCATTCCAAACTTACTTTAAAACTGCCTTCCCCGCAATTTTCGCGGTCTTCTTTAAATATACACGACTATGTTCGGTCCGGTTTTCACAAAAGCCGGTGACCCAACCGAACCCGTCGCTTCTGAAATTAAGATTAATTGTCTTATTTAATACCGTATTTATTTTAATCTTTGCACAACAAAAAATCTCTTGTTTACATTTTTTTTTAATCAAAATTTCAAGTTTAAAACTTTAATTTAAATGTTAAAATTATTTTGGAGCTCCAAACTCTCTCCTATGGAGGTAATTGATCTATCTGTTTCCACCTGCAACCCAATTATGCTGCGACATTTATTCTTAGCACAGCGACTATGTTCATGCCTTTAACCCTGTTTCTTAAAAAATGGGGATAGAGAAAGTTGAGCATGTCTAGAAATCGATTTATTAGAAATCGATGTTAGAGGCTAAATGTAAATAAGCAACAACCACAACTTTTGATAGTATATAACTAGAGTAGAAAGGACGACTAATCACATCTTCTATAATACATTTTGGAGCATTTTGGCCTTGGTACATGTAGACATGATTTTGGCAATACTCAGTCATATACTCTCATATTTGCATAACAAGAATAGTAAAGAGCTAACATAAATGCAAGTAAAATGACGATTATGAGCCGCTCACGTAATAGTTAGTTAGTTTGATAATGTTTTTCTTGAAAACAGATGGTAGTAACAAATCAATTTATGTCACAGAAACAAAGTAAATCTTATCCAACACCAATTCATCCTCCAGATCATCCCACATTATTGCATCATTTGACCATGCATTTGAATATTTAGTAACGACGTACAAATAGGTTAATGAACTAAGTATACCAAAAAAGAATATTTAAATGAATACAGATTCATATTTATTTATACACTTCAGCACTTGGCAGAATAAACAACCCCCCCACTCTCACAGCAGCAAAATATTCTAAAATTTAAAATTCCACTACCATCATTAACAGCGGCCAGAAGATAATGGAATCAAAAGAATATAGTTCTAAACACAATCTTAGCTGAAAACCAAAAAGTTACATCAAACATCAGCCACTGCGGCTCACTCAAATTCTTCGCTGCTATCATACCTCATAATCATCATTGAACTGTACAAAAAGCAAAACCAATTTCAAGCTGCAACGAGCTCAAAGCATCATCATTCTATCAAGATAACCGGGTGCGCCTCAATGACCAAAAAAAACAAGAGAAGCAGGCTCTTAAAATCTAGGATTCTAGTCCACTAAATGAAAGAAACTTGAAACTTGAAGCTCAAAAAAACAAAACCCAGCAATTCAAAATATTCACCTGAACATCTCTTTATCCAGCAGATATCACTGAGGAGCTAATTTCCAAACACGAACACAAGCGTCCTCACCAGAGCTCACCACGCTGTAATCATCCGTGAATGCCAGTCCGTACACCCCACCCAAATGAGCTCCCTTTACTGTTAGGCGGCTGGATGCTGGCTTGTCAACTTCATAAATGATGACACATGTATCTAATGAACCAGTCGCAACCTTTGTGTTATCAGGAGACCAGTCGAGGCAATTTATCCGAGCAGTGTGGAACAACATGTTCTTAAGTTTCACCTGCAGGCAACAATAAGAACACAAATCCTGGTATAAGAAAAAAAACCCACATCTCATCTACTCCTCCATTCAACTCCCCAGACTTTCAAAACAATTTCAATCCAGAAGTAAAAAGCAAAGTACTTTAGGAAGTTGATAAGCTACCTCTCGGGTTGCACGATCCCAAACAATAGCTTCTCGGTTGAGATCTCCTGATGCAAACATTGTAAGATCCGGGGAGTAGCGTATCACACTAATAGCTCCTCTGTGTTTCTCAATTGTTGCTTCTTCAGTGAGGGAGTCGTCTGCGACGGAATAAATGTGTAATTTACCATCTTGCCCACCTACAATAACCTCGCTTCCATCAGGCGCAAGTACTGATGCTGTCACGGTAAACCCAAGGTTGATGGTTGACACTATATTTGAGCCACGCAGTAAGACAACTCCAGTATCAATTGAAACCAAAGCAAGTTCAGGAGAAACGGCAGCAAGAGTCAAATCCTTTGGTTGACTCCCAACATCAATAGCCTCTGCCTCCCCACACTGACCATCCTTGATGGAAACTCTCCATACCTGGAAGTTTGAAAGAGAAAGAAAAAAGAACAGCAAGTACAGGCCTTTATTCAATAAGGAAGAAACAAAAAGATAAGAAGTTAAAACGCCTTCTTTTACAAGAGTTTCTACCATTTCTAAGATGGGAAGAGGGAAAGAAAGAAAAAAGGGAAAATTGGCAGACACATTAAGTATTGCTCAACTTAACGTAATCACTCACCTTATTGTCAAAACCGGACGTAACAAGTTCATCTCCAAGAGCTGCAAGACATTTGATTTGAGAATTTTCTTTTCTTTGCAACTTGCCACTGTATCCAATACCTTGAATCCATTTAATGATCCGGCCATCGTAGCTAGTGGATAATATAACTTTAGGGTCACTTTTAAGAACAACTAATGAAGTAACATTTTTCATATGTCCAAATAAGATGACAGGGGATTTATCTAGATCACTGGCTGAAAACAAACTAATAGTTCCACCAAGAGAAACTGTGACAAGATGTTGATTTTGCCATAAACACCCAACTAGCATATCATCAACCCCACCCGAGCAATGAGAAGTCAAGGTTTTCTCTAACGTCCCATTACCCTCATCAGATATCCCCCAGACTTTTGCTGTCTTGTCGGCAGAGACAGTCAACACCTAAATATACGATCACAACTGAACATCAGAAAATATAAGTGACTAAAAAGCAAAGCAAGGCTGCAAGAAAGAGCGTAACATAATATACTGTGTATCACAAAATAACTGACACAAAAGAGAGAAATCTCAAATCTGAAGTTGTCTCGTTAAGAAAATATCTCTTCCGATTGCAAATGTCAGACAGTGGCAAAAGGCATAATTTATTTTCCAACAAAGTATTATCCAAATTATAAATATTATTTACAATATGTGTACAACATGAGACAGAAATCTGCATGAATCGATTAGTTTAACTAATAAGATGAAGATTATCAAGCCAAGTAATATTACCTTCTAAATGACTCTTAGTTGAAATAGACAAACTTAATAGCCATGGGTGCAGAAATGAACATCAGTCTCAATCCAACAAACCACAAGGGGTTGACCTAATAGTCAATCAGGCCAATGTAAATGGCTAAGAGGCACCAGCTTTAAGTCATGGTGACTACCTGCTTAAAATTCAATATCCTAGAAGTTTTCTTGACAACTAAATATTGAGGTGCACATGTGCTAGCTTAGTCACTCTGAAATTAAAAAGAATATAAATATCTCAATGCAATTGGAAGCACCATTTTCAGCACATGTTCAGATTTATCAGATATGACCGACTTATTTGATAGTCTAATGATAAGAAATTGGTGTAGTTTCGGATCTTGAGGTATTCAGGTGAAGTTCCATGTACACAAACTAATATCCACAGGAAATAGTGTGAGGAACACTTGGCCGGCCAATAAAAGAGCTTGCTCTACGTTTTTTTTTTTTAATAGTTATAAAATGTACTCTCCTTCACAATGAGGCGTCCTTAAGAATGTACCCTGACAAAATACTTCAAATGGAAAAGGTGTCCATGTCATAAGCAGAACAAGTTTGTCTTCCATTGCACGCTCAACCTAACAACAATGCGGTAACCAACCTCCTCTTAAAATCAACAGAAGGCATAATGCGGTACCAACCTCCACTTAATGCAACAGTGGGAAGAAAGTAAAAAAGAAAAACTTAAAGCATTAGTATATCCACTGGTAAAATACCTCCAATAAGAACATAAGCCTGGCAGTTAAGAGAGAAATTAATCATACATTCATGTTCAACAAAGTATGAGACAAAGATGCATAAATTAATTCAAAATATATAAAAATAATAAATATTCAAAGTTCTTTGCGTTCTTAAAATTCCAAAGGAAACTGCAAAACTGAAATAAATATTCAATGACAAAAATGATAGGAAAAAATTATGTGGAAAACATGAATAAGGTTATATCCAAAGAGATGTCCATGAGGTGGGAAGGGGCAAGGAAGGCTTCCCTCCCATCCTCACCACCTATTTCAATTTCCATCTTCTCAAAATTTTTCATTTATTTTTTCGGGATTGAATTTCTCATGAATTTTTTTTTTTCCATTTAATCCTAATAAAATTTCTTTATGAAAATTTTTCTCGAAGGCATAAGTCATAATATAACTATTTAAAGAAAAAAAATTATAAAATATCCTAAAAAAAACAATAATATTCTATAAGCAAGATATAATTAAATTTTTAACCAACATAATTTCTAAAAATTCAAATCTCAATATTACAATATAGTCTTCAAGAACTTATTACTATAATAATAATAAATAATGGTAGGGTGAGGATGGAGACGGGAGATATAATCCCAATCCCCATCCCCGTTTAGCTAACGGGAAGAAAATTACCCCGCTCCCTCCCCTATTCCTCATGTGAATGGAGATTTTTCACCTATTTGGGATGAGTATCTGTGGTTTAAATGGATATCTCCAACTCCTTTAATTAATCAAAGATTTGTTATTGTGCAGTTCCATTTCAAAGTCTAGTAATTTCAATTTACTTTCAACTTCACTAGAATTTCAAGAAAGATCTAGGATTTCCCCAGTTATACTATGAAGGTTAGAAACTGTCTTTCATACAATTTGAGGATTTATCAAATATTATACTCATACAATGAGCACAAAATCAAAAGAAAAAATCTATACCAACCTGTTTCCCATCCGGACTCCAGCTGACAGCATAAATACTTCCTTTATGCCCATCATCGGAAGAAAGTTCTCCAATCTTATCCGCAGTCTTCGCATCATATATTATACCCTTCTTGTCAGAGCTCACACTAATGAACTTGCTGCCATCTGGAGAGAACCTTATACAGTTGACAAAATTTGAATGGTCCCTGAAGGTAAACATACCAAGGGTTTTCATAACGGGCTTTAAAAATGGATTTAAAACATGACATGAATTTTGAAGTTATAATAATAAAACCTTACGAAGAATAAATTTATCACCTTACAAAGTAAACAAAAATCAACTAAGAATAAAAGAAACAATATGCGTATTGGTCCAGTATGGGATGTGGAGAAAGTTGAGAGCATGTCTTGTAGGATTGGCCAGAATGTTTTAAGCTAATCTCAACATCCACGACTTAAGCTGCAGGGAAAAGTATCATTAATGCAATTTTTTGTGTTCAGCTTCAATTTATTTTAGCTCCTCGCAGTTTAAACTTGACTTATAATATACTAACACTGCAAAACTGCAGAGAAGAAAAAGAATAAGTATATATGTGATATCCCACGTTGGTTGGGGAGGAGAACGAAACACCCTTTATAAGGGTGTGGAAACCTTTCCCAAGCAGACGCGTTTTAAAGCGGGGAAGCCCGAAGGGGAAAGTCCAAAGAGGACAATATCTAGGGGTGGGCTTGGGCCGTTACAATATATCAAGCACAACTCTAGAGACAAGCAACAAATTTTCATGCTTCAGATGACTATTGCTAGCATCACGCCCTGAAAGTGACAGATGCAATGGGAGTTCAGCATGGTGTCTTCTATCAACATGGAGGAAAAATACACAAGGCAAGCATTTCATAAGAAAGAACGATTAACAAACCTAAGAGATTGCTTAAATCTAAACGGCGGTCCTTCATAAAAATTCACTAGGAAATCCTCTCCGCAGGTGGCAATGCGAAAGGGTCTTGTTGGCTTAAATGCACAGCTTAAAACCCGCCTAGAATGACCATCAAACTCGCCAACATTCGAGCCCGAATCCCACCTGATCATGATGTTATTCATAAAAAGTTAGGCAAAAAGAAAGAAAAAAAATGAATGAATGAATGAGAACGAAAGCAATAATGAACATTTTCCTCGCAAGCTCTTCATTTTCTACAATTAATGAAACCTAACATAATATCAGACATTCACTCCGTGGGCCAATAGAAAAAGAAGAAGAATATCATGCATGAATCAACATCCCTAAACAAAATTAGTAGACTGATGAATGAGGAGATTCTAAATTCATGGAAACCTCCCGATTCCTCAAGAAAAGAACAGGGAATGCGTCTATAATTCGTTTCAATGAAAAATGAACACTGAATGGCAGAAAAGCATCTGAAGCATGACTCAAACTTGCATCCTAGTTATTCAAAAGCAATTTTAGAAACCTTCCCGTCCCCAAATTTAAGGAGTACAACTAGTCGATCAATTATCACTCATCAACGCGATGACACACCAGAATTCATTTGTTTCCATCAATTGTTATCTTCCTGCACATTCACATCAACCAACCAGAAAACCAAATACAAAATAGGGCAACAAACTCACATAAAAGCACGCACGAACGATTTCCCCTTTCCCTCACCACAAGCCACAATCCTCATTCCATCAGGAGACCATTGCAAATCATCGATCCGCCCAGACAAAACCTTATACTCGTTCTTGAGCACAAACCCACTATGAGTGCCCCAAAGCCTCATAACCCCGGACACATCAGCAGACGCGATCCACTCCCCATTCGGCGAGTACCTGGCGACCGTAGCCGGATACCCGTGCTCGGCATAGACAGAGACCTCGAGCGGGTTGTCGAGATTGAGCATCATGACGGATCGACCATTGGTGTAGAGAACAGAGTTGGTTTTAGGGTGGCCGGAGATCAAAATTCCTCGGCCTCGCTCGGTGGATGGCATGCATGCGTAAGTCTCAGAAAGCTCCGGTGTCGTCATGGTAAGAGAGATGAAGAAGAAGAAGAAGAAGAAGAAGAAAATGTGATGAAAATGGCGAAAAGGAAGATCAATTTGAAGGTGATTGCATTTGGAACTGTGACCGTGAAGCTCACGAAGAGGACGATAACGGTAATGAAAGAGAGCTCTTACAGAATTGCCGGGAAAGGCGAGAGAGTCGCCGCGTTTTTTTACTTTTTTTTCATTTTAAATTTTGGAAAATACGTGGCAGTGTTTAATTGGTGGCATACTGGATGTTCTGTGTCTTTGTTTAACCGGTCAATTACTGTTTTAAGCTCCATTATAAAAAAATATTCAGATAACTATTAATAATATCCCAAAATATTAAAATATTTAATAAATACTCCCCGTCCTTTAAAAACCTTTAAAATATATATATTTTTATTTATTTATTTTTAATATTAAAGTTTTATCTCAATAAACTCTCGAACTTTAATAAATAATTTTATTGACATTTAGACACTTTTTAGCTTAGTAATCTATGAATTATTTACATGTCAGGTTTAATGGTATAATTAATTACACTATAACAACTGAACTTAAAATTTGAATGTTAATTTTAATGCAAAGTGAGTTTTTTTTACACCAGAAATGCGGGATCTTACCTTATGTCTGGTTCTGATACCATTTATAACCGTCCAAACCAAGTACCCTACTAGCAGCCACTTTAGTCCGTTAACATTCCTTTCTCCAACCGATATGGAATCTCACCGTTTGTATCAATCCTTTCTCCAACCGATATGGAATCTCACCGTTTGTATCAATATTATTAATGAATGCAATAAATAGAAACAAAATTGATACAAAACCATTCAAACTTGAGAAATGTAATTGAAATTATTTATAAAAAATAATGTACAAAATCCATAAAACTAAATCTACAATGTAATAAAATATTATTTTTGATGTTATATAGAGAGCAGAGAAAAAAATAAGCCCTGAAAATATGCATGCTATCTTATCTTCATCTATATAATGCCACCAAACAAAAGCCAGAAAATAATAGAACAATGGCCATCAAAGACAAAACAAATAGGCCCTCTGTGCACATGCAAATTTTCAAAAAATTTCACAAAAACCCCAATTTCAAGGACCTAGCAGCAATGAAAGTTACCCAGAGGGCATATCAGAAAAGAATTTGGCATTTTCCAATCAACACAGAGAACAAAGATCATTTCTGAACCCTCATCAATACAAAACAACCATCACAACGCACAAAAAAAGGAAAAAAATAAAAGGTCACAGTTACAAATTTCTAAGTGAAATCACTTCTAACCTCATCGTGTAGATACCCACATCATCATATTGTACAACAAACCAGCCCAAACCAGGCCGAGATTCAGTGATGCCTGAATTGGTGTTGACACAGAACTGCCTGAGATCTCGGCCGAATCCACAGCCAGAGGCATTCCGTCGCTGTTGAGAGTACACGACTTAGGATCCGACCCGTCTTTGCTCATCATTTTAGCGCGAAGCACCGATGTAATGGTGTGGATATACGCCGTTCGGTTCTTGGCAAGAAGCCATGTTAGACCCATCAGCTGACACTCCTTGTGGTGCATCTTGGTGGTCCTGTTCTCTGCCTTGCTTGAATTCAAAGTTTCTTTGTTGTTGAGCTGCATTATGTTAGTGTCTCAATATCCAAATACATAATCATAGAAGTTTGGTGCATTAGTTCATTGTATTTCTATCAGTTGGAGCTGAATCTAATGAAACTACAATGATCTAGCTTCTAAACAACGTGAAGCAACTAAATGAGTTCAAAAATCAAGAACATCAAATGAATTATCTTGTTCAATGATATGATCTGCAGATTTCACTACTCAAACAGAGAATGCCATATGTCATATAGGCTTGATTCTTATCAAGATCACGTGAGTTTGTCATGTTCTTCAGTAAAGTCGCTACCAAATGGCCCATTTCCAGTTATGATTTGATTTTTGTTATCCCTTTCAGATTATTCGTTCAATTTGAAACAAACCCAGAAAATTTTTCATCAAGATCATTGCAAAAAGTTAAGCAGATTATCAATCAGTTAATGATACATCTAGATTATTGAAAAAATGCTCACCTGATAAAGGCTTTTCAAGCATTTGGAACAGCCACCAAGCCCTGGAAATCCATTGACATTACCATTGCTCAAGCAATTTCTCTCCAATCTCTTCACATTTCTATCACCTTCAAGAATCCCATTCTGGTTCACTGAAAACGCTTCAGGGCAGCTCAAAGGGTGTAATCTTATGCCGCAATAGCAATAAACCACATCACAAGTCTCATTAGGTTTCATTAGCTCGATTCCCCTTTGATTCAACGCTTGATCCAAGTTACTGACGCAAGTTTCGGAGTCATCCGGTAGAAGCGGCAGGTCATACGACGGCGCAGTGTGGCCAGCAGCTGCGCCGGGTCGTCCAGCTCTCTGCAATGCGGTAGCGGAGTAAGCAGCGTAGAGCCAAGCAGCCAAGACCGGACAGCAACGGCTACGATGGAGCTCCCCGGAGACACCCCCTTTAGAAGGACCACAAGCGGTCTTAACCCCATGGAAGAGCTCATCAGGGAGGTCTAACGGGCAGCCCTGAACGTCGGATTGTTCAGGGAAGGCCGGAATAGTGGCTGGCGGCGACTGGTTAACCTGAAATGGACGGATTGTAAGTGGGTCTGGATGGGGAAGAGAGAAAAACGAGGGAAAAAGAGAGAAACCGAGGGAGAAAAGCAAAAAGATTCGTGGGATTGAAGACATTGGCGAAGAGAATGCGATTTAGGTAAAGAAATTGGGGAAGAATGAGTGAAGTCTATCAATGGCGGAGGAATGAAGGGAAGATCGATTAATGGGTTAACGAAAAAGGAAGCAAAGGGAGGAAGAAGAAGAAGAAGAAGAAGAAAGCACAGGGGGCGCAGAAAAGAAAAGGCGAAATGGTGGCTGACAGAGTTAGCGGCAATGAGAGAATTGGATGCCAATGGCTTAATCCCTTCCTGTTTCTCTTATAGTTTGAGATATAATTGATTGAGTGGCTAAGTCGTTTAGGGATAATTAAACAACCATGGAACTAAAGTGAAGAATTTTTTAAGTGTTTCTTTGACTACTAAAAAGCAAAAAAAAAAAAAGTATCTGTCATGTATCAACCCAAGAAAGTAAGAAAAAACAACAAAAGCAAAAGGGCATCTCAAGGTCCCGTTTTAGACATGTCTCTTCTACCACTAGTTTAGACGATACAGAAATATGATATTGTCCGTATTTAATTTTACATTTTTTTGAACCAGTTCAGTTGTGTTATCTCTAAGGGGTTGCATTACTGCTAGCACTAAAGCTTTAGTCTTAACGTCCTAACTACTGTTGTGCATTCTTTCTTCATGTTTCTCGTTTACCAACAACGGACGAGCCGCCCCCAGCCCACGGGTCATAACGCACTCTTCCCACAACAAATCCACTTTAAAATTGATTGATTCACTTGACCAATCATTAGAATGTGTACGAGATACCATATGAGACTAATATTTCTATAACACTTCTGTTATTCAAATGAGACAGAATATCCAAAATTCAGGATTAATCTGACTAGAAAATCATTCAAAACTCAATCGAAAAACGACTATTTCACCTTTTAAAATTTATAAATTATTTTAACACTAGGAACTTTATAATTACACTATCATTTATAATGTAATTTTATTTTTGGTTGGTCCTGTGATAGTAAATGATGTCATACACAAATGGTGACATGGAAATATTTAGCATTTATTACTATTTATAATACAATTTAATATTGTCACATGTTTTGTTATTTCTATTTTCGTTCGTACACACTGCACAATTAATAAACTTTGGAGTCATAAATTATCAAATTTAATTTCAATAATTGTCTTTTTAATATATTCCAAAACATTTTAAAAAAACTTAATATTAGACCAAAAAAAATATATTTGGGTTCCAAAAAATTATTTTTATTATTAATTAACTGTGCAGTCACATTGTGATAGCTTTATTTATTTATTTATTATATTAAAAGTATGGAATATTTTTTAATAAATGAAGTAAAAATAGGGGGAAAAAGTAATTAGAATTGCATTTACATGATTTGCGGCTGAATATTAAAGCAATGAAAGCAACATCTCATTATTTCACTTCACATTCCCTTTAAATTCCCACCCACCATGAAAGCTCCATCTTTTTTTTTCCTTTATTCCTTTTTTTGGCTTAATCATATTGATTGCCCAAACCCCAAATTATCCCATCTTTGATTGAAAAATCATAATCATAATATTCATTTTCCCCTCTTTTTCTTTTTGGATAAAGCGCCGTGCAATATTTTAATTTTACCCCAACATATATCTTTTACCGTTGGTAAGTAAAATCAATATTCCAATTTTTTTAATTAATTCTTTTAAATACGGTGATATATATATATATATATATATATATATATATATATAATCTACCCTTACAATTCTTTTTTTTATAAATAATTATTTAATATAGTTGGAATTTATATCCTTTATATCCTTTAGTATATAGTTCTTTTTACCCAGTTGGGTTTTGTGGCTAGATGTCGAGTATTTCATGATTGAATTAAAAACCTTTATGTGACTTAATTTTTATAATAATTTTGTTTGTTGCATTATATTATATTTTAATTAAATTAATAAAAATATCTTTGTCCCATAAATATTCATAAATTTTCAAAAGTTTTAATATTTAAAAAAATACCAAAAAAAAATATTTTTTTTTTATCATGGACACATTTAAAAAAAGTATATATAAAATTTTAAAATTAGGATTAACCCTATTTAGTATTTACCCTTCTAGTTTTTGTGGAAGAACATAACAAAATGATATTTGTAAAGCTGGTTATTTTAGAAAAGTAAATTCAAGGAAATGAAAACAAACTCATTGGACTGAAAATGAAGGTAAAAGTAACATATTTTTTTACCATTTTGGTATTTACCAAGCACGCCTCAGCGGTAAAAAAGCTGCCTGCAACAGCACTACAGCAGAAAAAACACAGTAAAACACAAAATAAGAATAAACAATTAGGGTTTAGACTGTGAAAAAGTAAAAGTTGCAGTTCAGAGGTAGAAGAAAGTCTACACTTTATTGGCAAAAGAGAACCCTTTCTGCCTTCCTCTTCCTCCACTGTATATTTTATTATTATTATTATTATTATTTAAATCTTAATAAATAAATAATAAATAAAAAGGCTGCTTTTTTATTCTTATTATTTTTTAATTAAAAAGACCATGATGGAAAAAATGAAGAGAGAAAAAAAAAAAAAGTTTGAAATAGAGAAAAGGAAGATGGATTTGGTCCACCATTATTGTCCTTATTTATCATTGCTATAGGGACTCTGGTTTGCTCCCACATCCCCCACCCATTTCCTTTCTTTCCCGAACAATTAAGAATTCAAATATCCGATCTTTTAAACGTATGTTCATGTCTCGACTAATTGGAATATATACAATTTAATAATATGATATATTCCAACGAACATTTAGACTTTAGTGTTCACTTTTCCTGAATAGTGTTATAATCGGTAAAGAAATTGGGTTGAGCTGGTTCGGGACTAAAATAAATAAATAATGTAAAAGGAAGTAAAAATGTAACTTTATGTAAAGAAAAAAAGAGAGCTTTCCTTACATATTACATTTAACCTATGATTCTTGCTTTAATTTTCAATGATATTACTTTTATGGCTGTCATATTTTAATATTAATTTGGAGGTATGGTGGAGAATAATTTTTATTTCTTCAATAAGTAATAACTTGGGCCAAGATTTTAGTGAATCTAATGAGTGTCAGACCTTAGTCTTACTTGGGAGCATGTGACTCCTGGAAATCTCATATTTTTATGTTTTAATTAAAACATGTTATTTATTGAATATGTATTTTTTGTTGTGTTCTAGATCATATGTTATAACCCAATAATACCACCCTCAACCATATATGTATAATATTCCGAGTATATTATAAGGTACATACTTTATATTTATATTATTTTTTGACATAATATTGTAAGAGTTGTCTCCTTCACATGATTAATGATACTATTTAAAAAAAAACATATTTATATTATTATCATGTGATAGTCTAGCTCTGTGTTTTTAGTACCAGGATAGAAAATTTATTATTCTACGTTCAAGTTTGAGATATTTCGAGATTTGATAAATGTCTATAAATCATCGTAAATTTAATTTCAGAAAAAAAAAAGGTTAAATTGTGTGTTGGGATGAGTTGAAAATCGAAATAGGCTGATTCTTTCCGTTCTTAGAAGTTGAAAGATAATTTGTTTTTGTTTTGTTGGATCAAATTCGAGCCAAAACGTAAAAGTTCTTGTGAAATTACATATGTAATAACTTGGAACGACGTAGTTTTAAGTCTTTGACATGGCTCTTCCGGCCGCCGCTCAAGAGTATAATTCGGGCGGAAGAGTGCTGTTGGTGATCAAGTTCTGTGGCGTTCCATACAGATCAGAAACATCAAGGTGGTGGTGGCTCCGCCCATTTTGGCCGTAGTGTTGACTATGCATGGCGGCTGTCACTTCGTCGTCGTCAGATGGCAGACGGTCAAATGTCGCGTTCATGAACGTCGCTGCCATGATCACAACGGGGCCGGAGGCAATGAGCGCGCCCACCACGACTCCACCGACCACCTGCCCTTGTGCGCCGGCCAAGTAAATTGTCAGACCGGTGATCCCCAGCGGTGCTGGCGGTGGCAAGATCGATCCCAATAATGAAACGATCTCGAAGCTGTTAAAAACAAGATTAATTTATTTCTAATCAATCAATTTAAATTAATCTTTTAAGTTAATTTTGAGTTTAATGTAGGGTTAGAAATCACGATTCTTACATTAATATGATATTATCCACTTTGACTCTGAGGTCTCTCACTATGTATTCTTTACAAACTCATATCATTCCCTAAATTAGTTCCCAACTAATAATTTAAAATTTACCGGCCATGGAGAGTGACAATGGCACCCGAGGAAGCAGCTTGACGAAGTGTGACATTAACGACACAACCACTTCCACTAAGAATACAAACGCCACGCTGCTTCCTCCGAGCGAAGCTAGAGAGACTCTCATTGACATCACAACCAGAGCTAACCTCAATGGCATGAGCCCGGAGAGCATTAGCGCTATCTCGGGTAACAATAATGGGGGGTTTGGGCTTGTTCTTGGAGCCAGCTGGCCGCCCGCGAGGTCGACGGAGAGCATGATCGCTCTCCGCGGCCACCGAGATGGGCGGCACAGCCTTGGGAGAAAGAAGAGAAGAAGGATCAAAGCAAGGTCTTTGTTGGTGATCGGCATTATTGGCACATTTTTGAGGTTCGTGAACAGCCATATCTTGATCACTTCCAGCCATTGCATGAACCTTTAAGGAAAAACGCAATCTTTTTTGTTGAGTAAAGGGATCCCATGAACATATATGAAGGAAATTAGCAGAAAAAATAGTTCAAGGTTAGGAGGAGATTAAGTGAAACCAAACATAAAAAACAATGTTTAGTTGTCTGAAGTATGTTTTGGTTTTCACTGCCTACCTCCCAACAGACTTTGTTCTTCATGTTAATTGTCTTACCTCCAAATATATTCATTTTCTAATCTACAACCATAACCATATTGCCGGTTCTCGACAAAATTAGGTTTTTGTTACCAAAATCTAAATTGATATAGAAAAGATAAGGTCAGTAAGATAGATATGTTTACACGATTGATGTGTTTGAGACTTGGTCAAGAATCTTTGTCTCTCCTAGGTTGGAACCGACGTTATACCTGAATTTCGTCTTGTAGCAATATGTGTCGTACCTATATCTTGATGGTCTATAACTTGTAGCTCAGTGGAGTTCAGTACTTGTTTAGACCAAAGTTAGTATAGAAAAAAAAAATCTCATTTCTAAATTTTTGGAATAGATCTCTCGACTTACACCCCTTGTTAGATGGGCTAATTTTGGTGTTATATGTCATGGTCATGCTTGTATAGGGCGTGTCGTGGCTTCAAAATATACTAGAGGACCAAATAATTATCAAACCTCCTTGACCAAATATTGTAATCGTTCTTGTCTGATTTTTCTTACCCACATTTTTTACAACATTTTCTCTTAAAACGTGATTAGAGGCTTGACCATACGTCTGATTTGTCTGCAAAATACGATTTGTTCGTTGGATTAGAACAAAGTGTTGCACAATAATTATTTGGATCCCTAAAGAGTGGGAATGTGATACTAGACATTCAAAATTGAAAATTTAAATGGGGAAAATTTGATTTTTATATTAATTAAAGAAAATATTTTAATCAATAATAATGAAACAAATAGAAAGGGGCCTTTACGTAAATTCACCTAATGTTATATTACAGTCGAACAATTGAACTGAATCATTAGAAGCGTAATCAGCCGTCGAGCTAATGCAAGCGCGCGGGAATTGTCGTCTCTGCCTGCTTCGCGGCAGCTCTTCCCGATTGATTCAAACCGAATCCATCATCAACGAGCTTCGAGCCTGTTCAAATCCTTCTCCTTCGAAGAAAACATTGACCCAAAAACGCGAATCCAAAAACACCAACCCCGCAATTACCGACTCCGATATAGTAAAATGGAACAGGAAAATCACCGCCTACATGCGCAGTGGTCAATGCGAGTCCGCTTTAGGCGTTTTCAATGGCATGCCCCGTCGGAGTACTGTCACCTACAACGCAATGATATCCGGTTATTTGAGTAACAACAAGTTCGATCGTGCACGGCAGGTGTTTGAGAAAATGCCCCACAGAGATTTGATATCTTGGAATGTGATGCTTAGTGGGTATGTGAAGAATGGTAATCTTAGTGCGGCTCGGACTTTGTTTAATCAGATGCCTGAGAAGGATGTTGTTTCTTGGAATGCTATGTTGTCGGGGTATGCTCAGAATGGGTATGTGGAGGAGGCTAGGAAATTATTTGATGAAATGTCGGATAAGAATGAGATTTCATGGAATGGGTTGCTGGCGGCGTATATTCAGAATGGGAGGATTGAGGAAGCTAGAAGGTTGTTTGATTCCAAAATGGATTGGGAGATTGTTTCTTGGAATTGTTTGATGGGTGGGTATGTGAGGAAAAAGAGGCTTGATGATGCAAGGATTCTTTTTGACCGTATGCCAGTTAGAGATAATATATCTTGGAACATAATGATTACAGGTTATGCTCAGAATGGGCTGCTGTCAGAAGCTGGGAGATTATTTGAAGAGCTACCAATTAAAGATGTGTTTGCTTGGACGGCCATGGTATCTGGTTATGTGCAGAACGGAATGTTGGATGAAGCAAAGAGAATTTTTGAAGAAATGCCTGAAAAGAATGAAGTTTCATGGAATGCGATGATTGCAGGGTATGTGCAGAACCAGCAAATAGACAAGGCAAGGGAATTGTTTGATCAAATGCCTTCACGGAACATTAGTTCTTGGAATACTATGGTAACTGGGTATGCTCAGAGTGGCAATATTGATCAAGCCAGGATTCTGTTTGATGAGATGCCTCAACGTGACTGTATATCATGGGCAGCTATGATCGCCGGCTATGCCCAAAGCAGCCAGAGTGAAGAGGCCTTGCAACTCTTTATTATGATGAGAAGAAATGGAGAAAGGTTAAATAGATCTGCGTTGACATGTGCATTGAGCTCGTGTGCAGAGATTGCGGCTTTCGAGTTAGGGAAACAGCTTCATGGACGGCTAATTAAGGCAGGATTCCAAACTGGGTATTATGTGGGAAATGCTCTTTTAGCCATGTATTGCAAATGTGGAAGTATAGAAGAGGCACTTGATATTTTCGAAGATATAACAGATAAGGATATTGTTTCCTGGAACACACTGATTGTAGGTTATGCTAGGCATGGATTTGGTAAAGAGGCTTTAGCTGTTTTTGAGTCAATGAAGATGACAATCAAGCCTGATGAAGTCACGCTGGTATGGAAGTTCTCTAAAACTTCTATAAGTGTAATTTGATCTTCATGTTGTATGAATTAGAGCCACACTTGCATGAATTTATTAATTTATTTCTGGGTATGAAAAAAGAAACTAGGAACTAAAAAGGAACATAATAGGCATGCACGTAGCAATTTAGGTTAGGAATTTTTTAGAGGCTCTTGAAAGGTTGTGATTACTGATAAAATTTGACTTTGAAAGCTAAAGGCAGAAACTAAGTCAGGTCTAAGTGCAGCAACCTATTAACGTTACATTTGAGATGATATGATATTGTCCACTTTGAGCATAACATCATGGCTTTGCTTTGTGCTTCCCCAAAAGGCCTCTTTATATCAATGGAGATATATTTCTTACTTATAAACCCATGATCATTCTCTAAATTAGCCAATGTGGAACTCTCTCTCAACAATCCTCCCCTCGAACAAAGTACACTATAGAGTCTCCCTCGAGGCTTATGGAGCCTTGAACAACCTCCCCTTAATCAAGGTTTTGGAGTCGAGTACACCCTTCGTTCGACATTTGAGTCACTTTTGACTACACCTTCGAGGCTCAGAACTTCTTTGTTCGACATTTGAGGATTCTATTAACATGACTAAGTTAAAGGCATGACTGACTCTAATACCATGTTAGGAATCACGACTCTCTACAATGATATGATATTTCCACTTTGAGCATAATATCTCATGGCTTTGCTTTGCGCTTCCCCAAAAAAGCCTCATATCAATGTAGATGTATTCCTTACTTATAAATCCATGATCATTCTCTAAATTAGCCAACGTGAGACTCCCTCCCAACACATTAGAAGTTCTTTTTGTTCTCATATTTCTAACTTTCTGAAATTTATCTAATTTCTACCTATTCTGTGGAACATTTTAGGTTGGTGTATTGTCTGCTTGCAGCCATACTGGCTTAGTAGATAAAGGCATGGAATATTTTAATTCAATGCATGAGAACTATGGTATAACAGCAAATTCAAAACACTACACGTGCATGATCGATCTACTTGGTCGTGCGGGTCGGCTGGATGAGGCTCTGAATTTAATGAAGAACATGCCCTTCAGCCCAGATGCAGCAACTTGGGGTGCTTTACTCGGTGCAAGCCGAATTTATGGCAACACAGAATTAGGGGAGAAGGCTGCTGAGATAATTTTTAAGATGGAGCCTGATAATTCGGGAATGTATGTTCTTCTCTCAAATTTATATGCAGCTTCAGGGAGATGGAGTGAGGTTAGGGAGATGAGAATGAAAATGAGAGACAAAGGAGTGAAGAAAGTGCCTGGATATAGTTGGGTTGAAGTACAAAGCAAGATTCATATATTCAGTGTTGGAGATTGTTCACACCCAGAAACAGATAGGATATATGCTTATTTGGAAGAGTTGGATCTAGAATTGAAGAAAGATGGGTATGTTTCTTCTACTAAATTGGTGTTACATGATGTGGAAGAGGAGGAGAAGGAAAACATGCTCAAGTATCATAGTGAAAAATTAGCTGTTGCATTTGGTATTCTGTCTATACCACCTGGTAGACCAATCCGAGTGATTAAAAACTTGCGGGTGTGTGAAGATTGTCACAATGCCATTAAACACATATCCAAGATTGCTAAAAGACGGATAATCTTGAGGGATTCTAATCGCTTTCACCACTTCAGTGAAGGTACATGTTCTTGTGGAGATTATTGGTGAAATTTCTTAGCAAATCCTTTTTGCCAATATGGTTATTCAACTAAGATAATTAAGAATTGAAGATTAGCAAATGATTAAACTGTGAACAATCTGGAAGGGCTTCAAGAATTCGATGAACTTGGATCAGAGTTTTTTTGAAGATAGCTCAGGATGAGATTATTGCATGTCGTAAATACTTGTGCCACAAAGAAATATTGATACTTGTCATTGATATCGAATGCAGTCTCATGAGATCATTTTCAGAAATATTAGTGTAAAAAAACCATATAGTTGGAGTTAAAATTACTGGAGAAGAAGGTTAGTGAATATTACGGAGAAAAGGACAACTGCCGTAATGGTATCACATTATGTACTGATACTGATACTGCTGCTATCGGAAGATACAACTTCTACTAGATTGTGCAGTAATTAGGATATTGGAGATTGTGTTCTTTGCTGCCGTACTCCACGACTTGGGTGACTTGGGTGCGTATGGCATGTAACGGACATGCAGCTATGGGCAACACACCTTGGACAAGCATGACTGTGGCATCTTGCACCTACGCTGCTCAATCTTATCTCGTTAGCAGAACTCAGAATTTGTTTTGAGAAGGGGATGGGGTTGCACATTACTTGGAATTAGTAATGCTTTTGGCGTGCCAAGTCTTCTGTAAGTTCATTTGATGTTCATTAAGGATTGTCTAACTGCATCATTTATTGATCTCATTTCTACAATTCTTTTGGCGTTGATTTGATGTTCATCACTGAATGACTGATTAAAGCTGAATACTTCGGTGAAGTTTCAATGATCGACTGATTATAAAGCTTATGTTTTCTTTTTCTTAAGAAAAAAAAAAGAAAAAAAGTGTTGTCATTTTTATCGAATCTAATATTTGAACGTAGCTAAAAGATTTTTGTCAATCAAACTTATGAATGAAGATACAATATTCATTTTCATCAGAGTTTACAAGCCCGAGAAATAAAGGCAAGAGCCAAACAAGGATTTGTGATAGATACATAAATCCAATATGCCAGTTTGTTCTCCATCGTGGTATTCATGCTACAAGGGGTAGCAAGCAACCTGAAAGGCCCTTCAAAATACAAATAAATCAAAATTACATGGAAACATTTTTTTCTGTTCGTAGTGCAAAAAATTACACAGTAAGTTAGGCATGAAACCTAATGTTAGCATATACCTGATTTTTTAAGAGACTTCGCTACACTTTGCCTAATGTAGATGTATAGCCAACATAATCTTTGGGAAAAAATACACAAAACGAGCAGCCCCGCCACCCTCTCTGTCATTCTCTCAAGGAAAATACAAGGGGTATGAAATATCAAGTATGCAAGGCCGAAACCTTCTGAGACAACCCGTCAATTGCCTCGTCGTTAACCTCCGTAATCGGTTCCTCCTGCCATCAATGAAAACACGCATCAACATTTGTAATGCTTTCTCCCTTTTCTTCTAAGAGAGAGTCCCTCACAACTGATGAAACAAAATCATGAAGAACACTACACAGAACAAAGTCTATTATACCTCTAGTTCCTTTTTTGGTTTGACACCTATACATTTAGAGGCACTGATGCTGGCACTTTTCAACAAGCTACGAGCACTGTAATTTGGCTTGCTTTGTCCATTTTGTTCGTTACTGTTTGCATTTTCCGAACCATCACCTTGCTGCGACCTTGGGGGACTCTGAAGAGTTGAAGCAACATATACACCATTTCTTCCTTCTAAATCCTCGTGCTGTGCAGCCTCATCTTTGGGTGCACAAACCCTTTCCCTGTAAAAATGTAACACATGACACAATCATAACAGGACCAAAACGATAGTAGCATGGATACATCCATACCTATTAAGAGATGTGAGGTTTTGTTTTCAAAAGAAGAAGATAAATATGTTTTAATCTTACCTGGGCAATGAAGCATGCTGTCTTTGAAGTGGAGAACTTCTTTCACCCTTACCATAATGTTCCTCCAGATGCGCAAACTGGCGTTTGAAACGATCGACGCCACTGAATATGTGAAGGGAAAAAAGGGTCGTTAAAGAATGATAAGTCTTCACACATATTACAACTAATTCCCATGAAAATGGATTTTCACCTTGGGTACATGAAACTAGTTTGTTCTCCACTGCGGAGATATTCTTGCAGCATCTGAGGATGATACTCCAAGATCTGTTCACGTCAAACAAAAAGAAAAATGAAGTTAACGCGATAACTGGTTGAAGCATCGAGCATTTAGAATTGAGTGCACACCTCTCGATAAATTAATTCTCTAACATCATCTTTTGTCAACTTTCTTCTCTCAAATTCAAATTCAAGTTTTGAAATCGGTTGAGTTGATGGTTCGCGATCCACGTTCGCCAAACCATGAAAGTAAGGATCCGCTAATGCCTGGATACATCATCGAAAACGTTATAAAAAATGAGTCACTTTATATGAAGAATAGACCTGGTAATCTTAACTTCACTAACCTCTTCAGCTGTAGGACGGTCTTTGGGATCAAATGCAAGCAGGCGTTGAAGCAAGCAGAGAGCCAAGGGATCGGCATTAGGGAACTTTTGTGTGAGAGGAACAGGCTGCTTTCTCCTCATGTTACTAAGGTATCTTCTTGCCTTTTCATTTCGAATCTGTAAATATAATGGAAATGCTTCTATGAATAAAATTCTAAAACGCATTCTCAAAAAGAGTTCAATTCTTCATGTTCTCTAATGTTTGGTGAACTTCTGAGCTGTTACTTTTATCATTACAGTTCATGGTTTTCAGAACTAAATTCAAGATAGAAAGTTGAAAAATTACAAAATCTTATATAGCATACCCTAGCAATGGACTCAGCCGAAGGCGTGCCAAGCACATCAGTCATCAGATCCAATTGGTGCACCACATTTTTCCCAGGAAACAGTGGCTTTCCAGTGAGCATTTCCGCAAATATGCATCCAATGCTCCAAATATCAATTGCAGGAGTGTACTGAAAAGGACCATAAAACTTGTTATGGCTTTGCTTATGCACCAAATACCTATACCAGTTAAATCCCAATAGCCTATCCAAATTACCCAAGGGACAATATTAGGCAACGACCAAATATTTCGACCAACAATCCTCAGAAAACAGATACCCCTCTCCCTTCCAACAAAACACGCACACCCAAGAGGACCATAAAAGTTAGTAGTTGTTTAGAGTGAAGAGAATTGTGCATGCATCACGGTCAATTCTGAGTTTAAGAACATCAGATGGTCATATCACCCAACCTGCTCAACCCCAAGTATAGAGTAATCAGAGAGAAAAACAACTTACTTTTGAGAAAAAAGAGCCACAAAGTTCAGGAGCACGATACCACCGGGTCGCAACATAGTCCTTTAGAAAGAAGAAGATTAATCAGCAAAAATATGGCAAGCCTGACTCTTGGAAGACCAAGGAAATGGAAAATAACAAGAAAAAAAAAATTAAAGAGATCCCTCCATCAATCTTACAGTCCAGAAAATAGCAGATGGAGCATCATTAAACGACACACGAGCGAGTCCAAAATCACATATTTTCAGTTTGCAGTCAGCATTAGCTAAAATGTTTTTGGGCTTCAAATCACGATGAAATACATTTGCTGGGAAAAGAAAAGGAAAAGTTATCAGTTAATTGGAAAAACAAGAAAGAAGTTCATAGCAAATACTGGGAGACCAGCAACCTGTGTGTATATATTTCAGACCACGAAGAAGCTGGTACAAGAAAAATTGATGGTGCTCAGGAGTGAGATCATCGTTGGCCTTGATTACTTGGTGGAGGTCAGATTCCATCAATTCAAAAACAACATAAATATCTCTGAATTCTCTCCGTGAAGGAGGAAGCATAATGTGCTTTATTTCTACTATATCTGGATGTCGAAGCAGCCGTAGGAGTTTAATTTCTCTTAATATTCTTGTGGCATCAGAAACGTGCTCAAAAACATCATTAATTTTCTTGATTGCGACCTTCTCATCAGTATGTGTATCAATGGCAGAACCGACAACCCCGTAGCTTCCTTTACCAATTATTTCTTGAACCTGATATCTGCTGGCTTCTCCATACTCTGTGAAAAATTCTGTTTCCAATCCACCCTATAACAACATTCAAAACGTGTTATAGGCAAAGCAAATGTAGCACAAAGTCAAAAGATTTTATACGGAACTTATTGCTTCACATATGAAATGCTAAAATGTTGGAGAAAGAACTCGGATAAAGATGCTGCAAGTCTCACAATTTCCAAGGTCCCAAATATAATAACAACCCCACAATTCGTTAGTGTAAGATCCGACATCGGTTGGGGAGGACAACGAAACATTCTTTATAAGGGTGTGGAAACCTCTCCCTAGTAGACGCGTTTTAAAAACCATGAGGAGAAGCCCGAAAGCGAAAGACCAAAAAGGACAACATTTGTTAGCGGAGGGCTTGGGCTACTACATTTATATAAGGATCGATCAAGAATCCCATAGTTGAAGCCACAATTTAAATATATTCTTCACCATGAATGACTTAAAAAACACATTTTAAGGCTGAATACTCCTAAAGTTAAAACATGAAAATCCTACAACTAATAACTCACCAGTCTAACATACAAAAGTTGATCACATATTTGATTTGAATGCATACAAGGGAGGAGAAGAAGTCCATTTCCTAACACCAGAATTATAAGAAATTGCTTTTCTAAGATGAAACAAAGATCTTTAGAAAAATATTCATCGAGAAAGAAAACATGGGCAAGGGAGCGTGGGACTCAAACGAGTCAAAGGACTTATCCCTTAAAATATGGAAAGACAGCAGAAGGATACAAGAAGCAAGGACAGCTCAGTTGAAAACATAGCAAAATACAAGACAACAGTGATGGGGACTTCAAATAATTCCAAGAACGCAGTTCAGATTTTAAACACCACAAACCATTTCTTGTTTCTTGCAAGAAGAAAGTTGCAATGGCGAAAAGCGGGGCACTTGTTTTGTTGGACAAGGTTCCTAATTTTTCAAATGCTGAAGAATCGCCTTCTTAAATTCAACAGTTCCACAATGTCAACTGTTGCCCTGCAGCCAATCAAGGCGATGGAATAGGACAGGAAAGCCACGATTTCAACAAACAAAACCCTACGTCAAGAAAAAGAAACGAAAGAACAGTTTGCCGGAAGACAACGCTTCAAACAACAATTATTTCTCATTGCTCAATCTTTCCGGCATGCAAAACAAATCTCAGGAATCCCCGATAACGAAATGAACATACCAACAAAACATAAAGATCAAACAAGAAAAAGAACGGGGAAAATCAAATCCATTCATAATCTGAAGCAATTTCATATAGAAACATAGAAACAAAGACAGGGAGAGAAGAATCAAGGCAAACACAGATCTCCAGCTCGAGAAAAAAGAAGCAGCAAGAAATACCTTCTTGTGGGAATCCATTATAGCGGGAAGAGGAGGAGGAGGAGGAGGAGCTCTGAAATGATTGGTCCGCTTAGGAACTTTGATGAGCTTCAAGGCAGAGTAATCAAGGTCGTCGACATCATCGTCCTCCTCCTCAGATAATCGCTCAAGAATGCCTTCTCCTCCGGGATGGGGTTGCTTCCGTAAACGTTTGCGTTTGGGGGGAAGAATGGTCGATTGGGCGCGTAAATCGCTACTCAACAATTGGTTACCATTTTCGCCATTATCCACATAATCGAGCTTATTATTATATGGGTAATTGAGATTAGAATCAGAATTACGTCCTAAATTAGAAG